GGTCCCCAAGTCTCTCCACTCACTTCTCTCTTTTATATTTCAAAACAGATTGGCTTAAAACACAATCTAATCCTGTAGATTGGGTCCTGCCTCATTAACATCACTGCCACTAATCCCATCTCATTAACATCATAGAGACAGGATTTACAACACATAGGAAAATCACATCAGATGACAAAATTGTGGGCAATCACACAAAACTGGGAATCATGGCCTAGCCAAGTTGACACACATTTGAGGGGGGACACAATTTAGTCCATAACACCACCCAAAGGCTCCTTGTAAGAAAGGCCTGGCTATTTGCCCCCAAAAGTTCACAGCCTTGAAAACTCTGTGGCGTTCAGTTCTACTCTGCACATATGGGTTTTCCATGAGTTGGAATCAACTGAACGGCAACTCACTTGGTTTTTTGAAATGTGATTCACTATACGATGCTTTTCCTTCTGAGCCATTACGGTTGTCTAGTATTGACAGAAGTTTGTACTTATATGTGTAACTGTGGGATGAGACATATAATAATTAAGTTTCTTTATAAAAGGATCCTCTGGTAAGTTAGGGGAGCCTATTTACTAAGGAATGCAGCAATTTGTCAACTAGTGTGCCTAATGAATCCTTCTAACTATGCTTCCAGAGAGCACTGCCCTTAAAAAATCCTTGGAATATTGTTTATCTTGATTTAAAAATCAGTTGGTCAACAAATATTACTTGAGCCACTAATACATACTGTTGTGGCACTCGTGCTTCAGGAGTGAACAAAGTAGACTCGGTCCCTACCTTCATCCAGCTTGCATTCTAGCAAATACCTCAAGAAGGCAAGTAGGAATCTCCCTTGGTTAATAACCACATTTAAACGATGATTTTATGCTCCTACATCAAAGGAAATGATAATACCACATGACTGTAAGCCTCATGAGGACAAGAACTGTGTTTGATTTTTGTTGTTGTTGTTGTATCCAAAGCCTTCAGCACATAGTAGTCACATAGTAGGAGCCCTGGTGGCACAGTGGTGAAGCGTTTGGCTGCTAACCAGAAGGGTGGCAGTTCGAATCCACCAGCTGCTCCTTGAAAATCCTATGGGGCAGTTCTACTCTGTCCCATAGGGTCGCTGTAAGTCCGAATCGACTCAACAGCAATGGGTACGATAGTCACATAGTACAGTGGCTACATCAATGGGCTCAAGCATAACAACAATTGTGAAGATGGCACAGGACTGGGCAGTGTTTCGTTCTGTTGTACATAGGATCACTATGAGTCAGAACTAATTTGACAGCACCTAACAACAGTCACGTAGTAGGCATTCAATAAATATTTGTTGAATGAATAAACAATTCCAAAGGCTGGGTCTTTGCAAGTTAGTTTTTTAAGTTATAAAAGTGCTCTACAACTGAAGATATTCTTTTTTGGTAAACTACATAACTGCTTAATTGTCAAGCTATCTAATTATTTAAAACCTTCTCTCAATTTGGATGGTGGATAAAACATATGGCCCAATAGTTCAAAGGACCAAACATTCTAGGGTCAGTTAATTGGAGTCTGTTTGTTAGATATAATCCTTACAATGGTATTGCATTAACAGCGTTTGATTTTTAATAATTAAATGTCGGTTTATTCTTCCTAGAAGTGACTAGTAGGATATCTACTCTGATGATATAATAGAAATCAGTCTTATGAGCAAGTAATAATCTAAAGCACATTGAAAAATCCTCCGTTCACTTACAACAATTAAATAATGTCACCATCCATTAAAAATAATACCAAATATTTCAAAAGTGTTCGGTGACTGTATTTTATTGTTTACTTCCAAGGCCTCCTTAACAACTCCTAATCAGATAGACAGAGTGTCGGCTGCCCACCACTGCAATTGCTTTCAGGTCACTGCAAGCAAATCTAAGTCAGATGGTGGTGTTGTAGCACTACTCTGTCTTCCTTTGGATCGCTACTATCCATCCCATATTCTCTGTTTATATATATGCTGTTTGTTGGCTCCAAAGGAGAGTGAACTGAATGCAATTTAATATCGCAGATGCTGCTCTGTTCTGCACTTGCACATATATTCTGTGAAAAGATTCCAGAAGGGGATATCTTCCTGAACTCTCCCGCTGCTGCCAGCCTCTTCAACCATTTAAGTGCTCTCATGCACACCCTTTGCCCTTACTCCTTGCCACACAATCTAAGGTATCTTCTGTTTAAGAATTTTATGATCATATTCCAATGATTTTGAATTAATTTCCAAACCTGAGAGATAATTTAGGAATGTAGGTTCCATTTATATTGGGTGTCTAATTCTTTCGTTGCAGTCATATCTTTCAATTAGACGTTTTTGTTTCAAGGAGAAAACACAATCCAACAACAAAAAGAGATACAAGTGAGATAGAACCTTCTAGAACAAAACAGACTTACCAAATGCTTCAAATTTCTTTTTTTTCCCCCTGAATGGCTGGAACAGAAAAATGGAAGCAGTCAGTTGGGCATGGTCTGTTTACATCCATGAACTAAACTTCTTAAATTTTAGTTAGGAATATTCTATCGAGTAAAAAGAACAGGAAGAATGACAGTGGAGAAATTTTTCTTTCATTGATTTGGTCGTCCCAGTTTCTCACCCGAAGGTCCCTTGGATTAGCACATACCCGAGGCAAATAGTATATTGTGAGAGATGGCGTTTTATGAATACTCCTCTTCTTGAAATGTACTTATTTATCATCAGGAACAATTGTTGTGAAGCCTTGGGTTTTTCTTCCGTCCCCTGTACCGATTCTTTCCCAGCACGTGCTTATTCAGTGTGTTTAATGCGTTACACAACTTTTAAATACATGCTCTGAAATCTGGAATGTTTTTACCCTGCAAACGCAAAATGCTCTATCTTTCAAATTGCTCTCACATACTTACATATAAATCTACCTAGGAATCCAAAATAATGTGGTAAAATACATTTACTTTTAACTGAAAATGAATCTGACTTTTCGTTTGGTGGTTAGCATTTCCCCTTTATTTCTGGCAGGTTTTTTCTTCTTTATTTTCTTTCTCTCATTGCACATGTTGATCTTTCTGAAAAATGAATGTTTGCCAAATCTAGTCTGAGTTAGAAGAGAAGGTGGGGGCAGGGTGGATACTAAAAATTCTGACCAAGAAAACTAGCAACTGATTCCCAATATAGAGGTAGGCTATATGCCTGGTTAAGCAATTAAATTACAGTTACACTGATTGGTATTATGAATCATGCTTTGGGAAAATGAGGTTTTGAGACTCAAGACACCTAGACTCCTTTTTATTTTTCACATGTACCTTAGGAAAAAATCAGCACTCATGGAAGATAATAAGGGTTGTTTCTTCCTCTAGTGTGGCCCATTTTTACTTTGTAACTCTATGCGATGCTCTAGAGACAGGAAGCAAATTCATAAGCTTGTTAATTAATTTTAAAATATAAGGGGAAACTATAGTCTACTTTGTCTGGGGTGTGTTTTATAAATTCAAAGAAGACGCTTTTTGTTTCAAAGTAATTGATTTTAATCTGTACCAATGACCAAAATTTCTTTGTTTGGTTTAGATACTAAACCAGCAATTTCAAGAACTATAGTAGTTTCAATCATTTCTTATTGAAATAGTATTCCTTCACTTCCAATCTGCACTACTAATATTCATGTGATATGTATTTTATAGAGGTGTTGCATATATGTCAGCATTTGGGTCTGATACTGTGGCATCCTACATGGCTATTAATAAGGAATTTTTAGTAGGCAAATTTAAACATCACCCGCAAGTAATAGTGGAGGAGTTTGCGTAAGAAAAATGGTGCATACAAATTGATTCTGCGAGCCACTCTTTTGCCTTCATCAATAAACTGAAACAGTGTGAGAACTATGACTTTGCTTTAGAACATTCAGGAAATATTTAAGAAGAAATTAAATAAGAACCCAGGCGTCTTTAGGTAGGGTGAATTAAAAACATTAAAATTTCATAATAGTACTGAAATTTGCTCGATAAATCTACACTGGTATCAGAATACTATTCCAGACAATGAAAGTACTATGAGCCCTAAGGTTGAGTGAGAGCTTGTAAGGAAAATTATAGCTACACAAAAACGTTGTCGACATCCAAATGTTAAAGGCATTAAACATTGAGGATAAACACGTACTTTGCTCATTTCCTTGGATTAAGTAAGGTATTTTAGAAAGGTGTGCACTTTCCCAATCATACCTATCAAATTTTAAAAGCTCAAATTTTAATCTGCTTTTTGTCATGAAAACTATTTGACTTGGGCTTGTTTGCATGGGTTAAAACAAATCAAAGTGCTGAGTACAACTTATGGGAAGTATCTAATTTGTAAAGCTGTTTACATTTCAAGTGAAATGACTTAAAAGTTAAGAATCATCCTGCTACATCTTAGGTATTTGTATTTCAAATGTACTGAATTAATAAGAGAAATATGAATATACTTTTCTGCTTAAAATTTCAATATTCAAAGGCTCTTAAAGCTAGGTTATCTAATTATCTTTATTAAATTATTATAACTGTTGCTTTGGAGGCTAGGATATATTTAGTATTGATTAATTCTCTACTGTATTTTATTCTAAAAAGATCTGGCTGTCATTAAGAAACAACAAATTAACCTCAATTTACAACTCCTCCTATTATTTTTTAAGAAGTAAACTTTAATGAGTTATAAGACTAGCAATAGTCTCAAATATAGAACTGAGATGTACTGTGATAATTTAGCTGCAACCTGAGACCTAATATAGAAGGGTATTAAATGTGTGCCATTAAAAAAAAAAAAAAGATCTAAAAGAGTGCTATATAAAATGGGTGGCAAAGTTTCAATCGGTTACTTGAAAATTGGTTTCCCTCCTCCCCTAGAACTTATATGCCCCGTACATCAGTGTGTTATGCCAGACGCATGGCTATAAAATTATAAAAATGGAGGCTTTTCTGGTAGCAGAAGGGTTAAGTTCTTTTTGCTTTACCAGTTTCAAATTACAATGAGAAGCCTCTTCTTTCCCAGCAGGGTTGTGCTTACATTACTCTTTAGATCTCTCTTGAAGAGGGCTGGTATATTTGTGCCTGCTGGAGGTGGAATTAACAGTAAGAAGGAGAAAGGGACTGAATGGATTTACAGGAAGGTTTTCAAATCAATTCAGGCAAACACATTTACCTGAATAGTAGAACCTTGAGTCTTATTTCACACTAAGACGACACAAAGATTGTTAAAGTTATCACCAAGCTGCCGGACAAATAGATATTCCATCACCAAGGTGCAGATCAGCATAGATCTGTAATTCAGAAATCAGGATTTGTCTTGGAAAGAGCTCAAGGGTTGAGAAGAACTCAAGAGCAAGTGAAGATAACTTTGGGAACTACAGTTTATCAGAAGATCAACTTTTGTTAATTCAAATACCAAAGGCCTGAATTACCATAAATTCATATAGGAATGCATAGGTCATCTGATCAAATAATATTAGCCGTCTTCTGCTACATCTATGCAGCAAAAACTCTTAACAACTGTGGATAACTGGAAATCCAAGTTTCAGCTTTCTTAGAAATAACTACTCTTGACACATTCCACAATATTTAAAATAGGACAGGAAAATCAGTCAGGATGTTGTGTTCAGAAATGTCACTGTCATGAAAAATAGGTAAATTTGTTTTTTTCAGCTACTGGGAAAGTGTATCTCCTAGGAACTTAGATTTTTTTTTTTTTTTTAAAGAGGACAAGAAGGACTAAAAATATCAACTTTTCTTTTTTGGACAAAAATGCATCTGACTGTATTTTTACTTAGGGGTATTGTGGGTTTCCTCTGGAGCTGCTGGGTTCTAGTGGGTTATGCAAAAGGAGGTTTGGGAGACAATCACGTTCACTCCAGTTTTATTTATAGAAGACTGCGGAATCATGAAAGACGGGAAATACAGAGGGAAATTCTCTCTATTTTGGGTTTGCCTCACAGACCCAGACCATTTTCACCTGGAAAACAAGCGTCTTCTGCGCCTCTCTTTATGCTGGACCTATACAATGCCATGGCCAATGAAGAAAATCCCGAAGAGTCGGAATATTCAGTAAGGGCATCTCCGGCAGGAGACACCAGAGGGGCAAGAAAAGGATACCCAGCCTCTCCCAATGGGTATCCTCGTCGCATACAGTTATCCCGAACGACTCCGCTGACCACCCAGAGTCCTCCTCTAGCCAGCCTACATGATACCAACTTTCTGAATGATGCTGACATGGTCATGAGCTTTGTCAACTTGGGTATGTTTTCATTTATTTGTTAATCTATGTTATTACAAAGGGGACATTTTCCTAATGGTAAAGTAGCTGCCTGGTAGGTGGTCATGTTTATATAAAGTCATTTTCTATAACTCTCCTTTCCAGCTTCTGTTTCCTTTCTTTCACTGAGGTAATGTAAGATCTTGCCTTAGGTGACAAAATCAAACACACACACACACACATATATATGTTTTAATATGAAAAGCTAACATTAAACAACATAGTTTGGGTAGATTTGAGTCTTTTTAGATCTTGTTAAACTTTCAACCTTGTTTAAATATGGAAATAAACAGGCAATAATCTGAAAAAGGGAAATTCATGAGAATAGCTATGTTATGGGGAGAAAATGACAAGAAAAAACCTAAGCATTTAGAGATGGGAAAGTAAAAGTGGCGTTTTGAACCTTTTTTTTATTAGAATTTTTGTTGTTAGTAAACTGTAGAACACATAAGTGTATAGTTACATGCTACTTTAGGGGAACATTTAAAACTCTCATTTAGGGGAGGCAACTACTATGAAAATAATGATGGGAAATTAACTAAAATCAAATAATACAGTAAATGATTACTATAAAAGAATTCAGGAAATGATTCTGAAATTCTATTAAAAATATTTTAGAAACGCAGTTTCAATCTAACATTTCTTAACTTAATGATTAAAATGTGCCATACCAATTTGAATTTTTGACAAGCAAGAGAAATATAAAACATGGTATGATGGTCTTTATCTCCACAAAATTTCCTTTTTTTATTTGAAATTAAAAAATTAATCGAGCATTTCTGTAGCTAGCAACATTTTTAGAGAATAATTTAAAAAATTCTTTTACTCAGTGCTATAATTTTCATGATAATTTTAAAATATTGAAAATATCTATGAATAAACTTGAAATGGTAAACCATATTTATACAATATTAGTGACCAATATTCCTTCTTGTAATAATATTTAAAGGGTTTACCAATTTAAAATGATTTTATAAAGTCAGTAATTTTCTTTAAATGTTTCAGTAGAAACTGAAGGTGAAAATTTACTATCTTCAGGCATATTCAAAGAAAAATATCATGGGATATATTTTATTATGGAAGGCTAAATATCCTATCAACAAATTTAACTGGGAAGAATTGAGAACTTTTAATGTAAGAACTTTTAAAACTTTGCTTTAAAAATCCAATCTGCTTTGACTTAAAATTGACATGTTTTATTATATACTTAATTAAACACTTCCTTATGTAATATCTCATAGGAAATATTCTTTGAAAAGTCAGATAACAAATCCTAATAACATATGGATGCATTTATAATACATGTTGCGTCATATGCTCTGCTCATTTGCTCTTAGCAATCCTGGTAAGAAGGATAAGGTGCTTAATAAATCATGTTTCATGTTGCTAGAGACTAATCTCTCGTTACTAAGTGTTAGTAAGTCATTATTGGTTGCGCTAATCAGGTGTCCTCTTGGCCTTTTCTCCTATATATAAGTAACAGGTTTCATTTGGGACTTTTAAACTATTAAAATATTAGCTTAATTCTAAGTTAGTTTGAATGTTTTTTCCTAGTATAAGTGGTATACAAATGTGGCTTATAGTACAGTTTACTTTGTAGCATTTCTAAAGTATTATTCAATAATTTAATTTCAATAGTTTAATTCTCTTCTAGTATATCTTATATATTCATAAAATAAATCGCTGAAAAAATCAGTTCCAATCATCTAAAATCTGACAAAGAATGTGTTTTGTTTTATACTTAAAAAAAAAAGCTGTCATGAATTGCTCCTATTAGTATATTTTATTGTAATTGAATATTTTGATCATTCACAAAAAATATGTATTTTTTTAGAAAAGAACTAAGTATGATTTTGAATCTGGTTTGCCATTATTTTTATAAATGCAAGCAGAGTAACAAAATAAAAAACAATAATAAACAATTTTATTCAGTGATTTCTAGAACCCATTTTTCTCATTACAGAATGCTTATAATATTTAGATCAATGAAATTTTGATTATATTTGTTCACATTCTATTAAAGCAGTTTATTAATTCTATCATGAATACCTGTTCATTTTACTCCAGACAAACAATATTGAATAAAAGCTTCAGAAAACTTTATTTTTATCACACTTGAACTGCTCAGTAGTGATTTATCCTCAATAACAAAACATCTTTTTTCTTCTTTATTTAATATTTACAAACTGAATGTCTCACATGATACTGACAAATTGATTCTGATACTAGGTAAATTGCTTCTAGCAGTCTCTGAGGAAAATTGAACCACAGTTTTATATCCTTAGACCATGTCTTCTAATATACCCAAATCTTGGAACTAATCACTACTTAGTAAATACTTCTTGTATTTCTTCCATAATAAAATAGGTTCAAAGCATACTCAGAAAAAGTCCAAGAGTAATATCATTATTAACTGCACTAAGAATTTTAGTGCTTTTTAATGTAACATTCACTAGTAATTATTACCTGCAAACTGTTTCATGTTCTAATAAGACCCAAGAGGGTTTTACCTTGTTTTTTCAGTGACTTTAAGGATATGTATGTACTGGGGACTAAGTGCAAATAAGTCAAATAAGCAATAGACAAGGGATTTGTATTGAGGAAGTCACCTGCATATTTAAATATGTGAAAAGAATCTGTTGACATTTCCCATAATATGATGAATGATACAAAAAAGATCTAATAGCATCTTTCTGTTTAAGCACAGTGTTGTTGATATTTTCAAGTCAAATAATGGACTTTCTGCTATTATCTTGTCATTCAAAAAAATTTTTTTGTTCCCTCACATTGGTGTTGCTCATAACAAACAAGTAAACTCAGTTCAAGCTGTATTGAATCATATTTACCAAAATATCTATTTTCCAAATTTTAGGTGAGACTAGTTTTGTGTTCATGAGTGAAAAATAGATGAAAATGTACTGAAAGAAAAAGTAAATGTAAATAAATTACCTTAAGGCCAATGTAAACATCTAAATATGGAACTAAACACATTATTTTGACTTTTAAAATATTTAAGTGATTTGTTCACTTTGAAGAAACAAAGGTATTGTGTAAAGAGAAACTTCCCACTCTATTGTGTTCATTATTCTTAGACCAGCTTTGTCAGTCTCATAGTATCTGGCTTTTACAGGTCAGCTTCTCTGTTTTGTGCCTGACTGTTGAATATCAGTGGGATTTTTGCTTAGTCAATGCCACATTATTTTGTTAGTGATAAAAATATCTTTCTGGTAATTCTTTTTTCTTTTTTCTCTGTTTCAAAAGTGTTCAGGGCTAGTTTATGCATCAAATAGCTTTGTAAATAAAGGAATGATTACAAAATTTGCTTGCAATATTTAGGTATATCTCCTGTTTACATAAACATGTAGTACATTCCTAAGATCTTTTAGTTAGAAGTCAATTTTTACTTGATTACTTAGTCAAAGTATAATTAAAATGATGTAACATTGTAGACATTTTAGAGGAAATGACAATAAAACAGTAAAAAAAGGAGATTAACTTTTATTATTCATAGTACATATGATTTTCTCCCCAAAAGAACTTTGGTTTTAATGGCTTTAGACTTACTGATCAGTTGGCTTGGTGTCAAATGATTTTTATATCTATTTCAAGAATATTTATTAATTCTCAAGGATAAAAGTATAAAAATTTGATGCTTAAGTTTTTAATATTTTATAACATATTTAGCTTGTCAGATATGAAATAGAAAAAAATGCCTTCAAAAACTTTAAATTAAATAAAATGTAAATTTTTACATTAAACTCCCTTTCCCTCTACTTTACCAAATCATTAAACTCTCCTGGTACTGGAAGAAAAAAACTGCTTAGATCCTTATATAACAAATTTGAAAGACATCATTGATATTTATTGTTGTTTTTGGCTTACTCAAGTGCCCAGTTGAGAGGAATTTATATACAGCTCTACCTAAAGATCCCTATCTATGTAGTCTCTCCAACAGGGTTATTAACACTTGTGTAACATAAACACACCCATAAACACATGCAATATTTTTCTTTGGAGGGGGGATGGGATGGGAGAAAGATGATCTAAAACTATTATAGTACTTATTCATAGATCATGACTTGAATAACAAGTGCTAATATTGGGTAAAACAACAATCCTTCTTTAAAACTTGTCTGTTAGGAAGACAAAAGAAGTCTTTGGGGGCAGAGACCTTGTTCTCTCTTCATTCTGCAACCCTTTACATTCATAAACATTACCAAAAGGAATTTTATTGTCAAATTACTGCTATGGCTTCCAGAGATAGTTGTAAACATACTTTAATTAAAAGATTATGTAAGTTTAAGAGATCACTCACAAATTGCTAGTTTTGAAAGTTTAATAAGAAGTAACCGCTGGGAGTTAGAAAGTCTAATCACATAGGCTAGAAGTTTGGTACTACCTCACCCACCACCTCCAGTTCCTTCCCTTTCGTTCTTATATTTTTCTGTAAATCAGCCCCTCCCCCATCCCTCACTGCTAACATTTTTTTTGGCCTTTTCTCCTTAGCTCTATAGTTTCTCTAGCCTCAGGCTCTTCTGGCACAACACTTCTTACTTCCCCCACCCTTCCCGGGGTCTGCCTTTGGTCCCATTTTCTTCATTGCTAGAGGCTTGGATTAGCTGAAAATCAATTAGTTACAGTTTGATCATTTAGGTACAGTCTCCTGTTTTCTCTCCAGTTGAGAAGGGAAAGGTTATGACGTGCCAATTGCAGCCTCCACCCACTAGAAGTCCAGCACCCCAGGGCATCAGAACTGCTCTGGCAGTTGCCATCCCCTGTAATTGTTTCCCACTACCCATTCTCCTCTGCCTCCTCACCTCTCATTGGGGATCTCATTCACAGAATTTAAACATTTTTGCCTGCACTATTTTCTCAAATAATTAAAATTTGAAAGGGGAAATTTAGGGGCAACTAAAAAAAAAAAGGTACGACATCGAATAATATTAACACTCATCGAGCACACAATTCCCTTTTAGTTTATA